ATGATACCCTTGATATCCTCCCACAACTCATCTGGCCTTCGCTCATTAGTGTTCAAAGCCTCAAACCTGTTCCTGAGATGATTCTGAAATTCAGGTGGTATGAAATCAAAGCCATATTTTGGCTGCCTTGGATTTGGTTTAATTTTCCTCAGCTTCAGCTTGAATTTGCATATGAGTAGTTGGTGGTCTGTTCCACCGTCAGCTCCTGGCCTAATTTTCACAGCTGATATTGAGCTTCTCCAGCGGTTCTTTCCACAGATGTAATTGGTCTGATTCCTCATAGTTGTTTTAATTTGCATCTCTCTCAGAGCTAGGGATTTTGAACATTTCTCCATGTGCTTGTTGGCCATCTGAATGTCTTCTTTGGGGAAGTGACTGTTCATATCCTGTGCCCATTTTTCTATTGGATCATTTACCTTTATCTTGTTGTGGTGATATACGAACTCTGTAAGCAAACCAATATAAAACGAAAGCTAAAAATAAAAACAAAGCATAAAAAAGAACGATTTCATAAAACACTATGTAATGTGAGAGAGTCTAGAGAACATTATGCTGAGTGAAATAATTCCATTACAGAAGGACAAAAGCTGCATAAAGACCGCTATCATAAAAATAGGAGGATAAATGGGCAAGATATGTATAAATGTTCAAAAGGGGAAGGGAAAGGAGAGAAGAGAGGACAGAATAAAGGGAAGGAAAAACATTACTGGGACAGCAGAGACTGGGTGTGGTGAAGGAATGGGAAACTTGAGATAGGGTTGTAATGGGCATAGCTCAATGGTAAGCAATTATATAAAATACAGGGTCACTGTGAGTCTTGCTCAACTTGAAGGCAATCAACAACAACAACAGCATAAAGTATATAGGTTGGTGGATATAGAGGTGAAGAAATGAGAAAAGATCCAGTGGGATCCTAAAAAGGTGAGGTAATGGCAGGCATGTATCAATGATGATTTTATAAAACACAATGTATGGATAAAAAATTTAAAAATTTTTAAAAACCACAATGTATGGGAATGATACTATGAAAAATAACGTATATAAACAAAACACAAAGCATATGAATTTTGTATGAAACCAATAAAAAAACCATAACATATATAAATGATTATATAAAACACAATGTTCTTAAAGACTAAGGTGAGCTTTCAAGATTTGGTGCTGGTTTGCAGCAAAATGGCTAAACACACTAAGAAAGTCAGCATCATCGGTAAATACAAGACTCGTTATAATGCCTTGCTCAGGAAGATGGTAAAGAAAATTGAACTCAGCCAGCATGCCAAATATGCTTGCTCCTTCTGCGGCAAAACCAAAATGAAGAGATGCGCTGTGGGCATCTGGCGCTATGGTGCTTGCATGAAGACAGTAACTGGTTCTACAACACCATCTCCACCGTCACCATGAAGTCTGCAATCAGAAGACTGAAGGAACTAAAAGACCAATAGAGTCACCCCCATTTGAAGCATCTCTAGCTTGTAAAAAATGAGTTAATTAATGTTAAAAAAAACAAAAACAAAAACTAAGGTGAGCCTGAACCAACTCAAGTTCTTTTCCAATCATTTCCTTTGCATGTAAAAGTTAGAACTAGGATGACAGACAGAGAATTGACACCTTTGAATTGTGATACTAAAGAAAAGTACTGAGTATTCCATAAACTGCCAAAAGAAGGAAGTCTATCTTGGAGGAAGTGCAACTGGAGTACCCCTTAGACGAAAAGATGATGAAAGTTTGTCCCACATACTTTGAGCATATTGTCAGGAGGGACTACATTCTGGGGAAGGTGAAGGGTCAGAGAAAGAGAGAAAGGCGCGTGCACACACACACACACACACACACACACACACACACACACACCCCAAGGTGGCTGGCACAGCAACTGTAACAATGGGCTGGAACACATCAGTTTCTACTAAGGGTTAACATCAACTCTGTACAAAGATAATGAAAGGGTCTGTGCTTCCCAGGAGATCATGGGGAGGAGTAAGGGATGAACAGGTAGAAGACAGAGCATTTTCTGTGGAGAGAAACTTTCTGTATGATACGGAAAGGGCAGAGACATTAGGTCTGGACAACATGAAAAGTGAACCTTGATGTAACTACAGACTTTACCAAATTATAATGTAACAGCACAGGCCCATCAATGATGTAAGACTGCGCAAGCAGGTGGTCTCATATCCAACCTGTAAGAATTCCGCTTGGAAAGTCAAGCACAAGCCCTGAGCTCGCAATGTCGAAGGTACGCCTTGAAGCAGATCACAGAAGTCAAGCCTCACACTGTCCACCGTTTACAGCTCCCACCTAGAGCCCAGCCCACTCCTCACAGCTCCCACCTAGGGCCCTGCCCATTCCTCAAAACTCCCACTTAGAGGCCCAGCCAACTTCTCAGATAACACTGAAACTCAGGGAAGTGAAAGGCTGCCAAAGACACCTACCCGGTCTCCTATGGTGATGAAAGTCCGAGAGTCCAGGTTCCGGGGCGGTCTGGGGAGAAGAGACAGACGCTGTGAGCTCACAAAGTTACCCCCTCCACAGGACAAAGCACAGCTTTCCATATGCCTCAGGAAGGTCCTGATGAAAAAGTTCCCTCACTTCAACAGTCCTACACATCAACCATGCACAAAGCACAAGTGATCTGCACCTGGAAATAGTCCCACTCATACAGCTCACTTCTGTAGGAAGGAACTAAGAAGTGCACGCGCACCACTCACGGGCCCCTCCGTGGCTTCTGTGGTCGGTGCAGAAGCTGAGGCATGGCCCCTTGGGAAGCCTCTCCAGGCAGAGCCCAGAGGAGGAACTGAGGCAGACTCACGTGGGGTTGGACACTGGGGGCTTGGACATACAGGTTATCCGTAAATCCTTCTTCTTCCTTGATTTTCCTAAAAAGGAGAGGAGGTAAGGTATCTGGTCAATAGTTCAGTCATTATCCAGTCCTCCCAGAGCTATACAGTAGACAAGAAGGGTGCAGACCCCAGACCTCAACCTGATGACAAGGTCTATGTGCTCAGACAGCAGTGGACAGCCTGATAACTTGAATGGCACTGAACTGAATCTTTGTTTAAAAAAAACTTACAGGGAGCTCCAGTAGCTAAGTGCTGCAAACTAAAAAATGTTGTCGCTGCTGCTGCTGTTGTTTTGTTGTTGTTGTGCGCCATCAAGTTGCCTGCAACTCATAGGTACCCTATGTCCAACGGCCCTAACCCTGCTCTATCCTATGCCAATCTTATTGTCTCCAACACATCTACCCCCATAACCCAGTCACTGAATTAATCCATCTCATCAAGGATCTTCCTCTCCTGCGCTGTCCACCCTCCCAAGCATAATATTCCTCACCAAGGACTGGTCCCTCATTGCAACAAGCCCAAAGCATGTCAGACAAAGCTTCAGACAAGCTTCAGGAAAACAGCCTGGTTTCACCCTCTCTAGGAGGAACCTGTTTGTTCTCCTAGCAGTCCATGATATATTCAATACTCTTCTCCAACACCACAGCTCAAAGGCATCAATTCTCCTTATATCATCCCTGGTCATTGTCAAGGTCTCTGATACATAGCAAGTGATTGCAAAGACTATAGCCTGGATCAGGCACACCTTAGTCTCCAGACTGATATCATCATTACTTTATTTTGTTGCTGTTGTTGCTGTTAATAATACACAGAACAAGCACCAGTGAAACGGTTTCTGCACGCTCAGCTCCATGACACTGATTTCATTCTTCAAGTTATATAACCATTCTCAACGTCCTTTGCTAAATTGCTCTTCCCTTGTTAACATAAACCCCAAAACTCTCTACCTCATTTTTCCAAGTTGCCATTGTCAGTTAGATCCCATAGGAATAGATATTTTATAAGCATAATGTTCACACAGACATCCTTTACTCAAAAAAAGCTCACTGTCATCAGAACTGACTCATGGCTGACTCTCCAGTGGGTTTTCAGAGGCTGTAAATCCCCCAGGAGACAGCCTATCTTTCTCTCTCAGTGACAGGAGTGGATTCGAATCTCACCTTTGGGTTGGCAGCACAACTCACCACCCATTAGGCCACCAGTGACTATGGTTTTGGTTTTAAGAGAGACATTTTCAGTTTAAGGTTTAAAGATGATCTCAGGGCAAAAGTTTCAGGGGTTCATCCAGCCTCTGTGGCTCCAGAAAGTATGGAATCTATGAGAATTTGAAATTGTGTTGTGCTTTCCTCCTTTTTGATCACAATTCCTCTATAAAATCTCTGACTGAACTGTTCAGTGATAGGAGCTAGGTGCCCTCCAGTGCTTCAAGCCTCATTGCAAAGGTGGCAGCTGTTCATGAATGCAATTAGACATATTCCATTTCCTTCTCTTATTCCTGACTCTCGTTTTTCTGTTGTTCCAGCAAATATAGAGAACAACTGTTATGTCTTAGACAGCCACTTGAAAGCTTTTAAGACCATAGGCATTACACAATAAACTAGGAGATAAGATAAAAGCTCAATATTAGGCTAATATGCAAAATAATCAGCCTAATACGCATGCTAAGAGGCTAATTAAATGAAAGATTCCAGGAAACCATAAACCTCAATGAAGGAACCAAGTCGCATGGTATATTTGGCTGTATACTTAGCAGCCACTTTTTCTCCTTTCCAGTCATTGCTATAAATCTATTTAACACAAAAATTTTGCCCATTCAACATTTTATAGATGTACAATTTATTAATAGCAAACATAATAAACAGTTGTGCAATTCTACGCTTAACTAACATGGAGGTTTTTTCCCCATCACCATTGTTATTAATATATTATAACATGTTATAGAACCTCACTATCACCAAGAAAGCTGCAGCATAGAGGCCAGGGCATCCTTTGGTCAGAGATCCGTATACCAGGTGGGGGTGGCAAAGACACAGAAGACAGGGAAGCTGAAGAAGCTGCCAGAGAGGGAATATGGGGCCGAGAGTGGACTCTGTACCACCTGACCTGGAGGCCACAGCTGTGCCCGCCTCCCCTCCCCACTAAAGTTCTCCAGTTTGCAAAGCTATCTGAGGCCACTAGAGATGTCCTGCTTCCCTCACAGGCACTGAGCCAGTGCCCTCACTCACTGGAGACCAGGCTAGTGCTAGGCTTATCTGCACCCTGGCGTCTGTGCCTTGCAGTGCAGCTAAGGGAACAGAGCGCAGCTAAGGAAGCGTCCTTAATGCTCTGTGAGAGGCACCATTGCTTAGAGAGCGGAGAACTATGCGCAAGGATGAGTGTGGGAGGGTGGGAGAGGCCCAGCCCCAAGTGCCTCTCCAGGCAGCTCATCACCAGTAATGTGACTCACTCAAGGTCACCTAGCACAAGTGGCAGAGCAGAGACTCAAGCATGCTCCCCAAAACCCCCACAGCAGAAACTGTTCCAATGACTATGCTTTCACAGGAGCATCCACTCACCTCCTCTTCCTCACCCCATCCCCACACCCATGCCAGCCATCAAGGACTCAGATGGCTCGCAGACAACCTGCCAGAGGAGTGACAGAGCCAATGTGGCCTCTGCTACACCCATCTCAGTGGCTAGAACCTGGTTTCTGCATATGTAGGTACCAGAAGCACCTCTCCTGTCCTCAGACCTGTGAAGGAGCATGTCACTTGCTTCTAAAGAGAAGAGAGTGGAGGCCTAACTTGGGAAGTAGAACTGTCACAAAGGAATGGAATGTAGCTTCTCCCAAGAAGCATCTGAGAGATTCCCAGATCTCAGAGATAGCCAGTTTCAAAAGCTACCCACAGAGCCAGGTCAGCCTGATCAGGCCTCACAGATTGGGTGGCGGAGAGCTGGACCTGGCCTCCTCACTCACTGTCTATCAAGTCAGGTAACCCACTCGCCCCACAGCAGCAGGAGTAACCCAGGCCCCACAGGGCACCCTGCCAATTGTGGGAGAGAGTGGGTGAAGATGCCATAGAGACAGCCCAGAAACAGGACACAGCTGCTGACACTGTTTGCTACAGATGCCAGGACTTGGCCAGCTGGCCGGGACACCCAGGTACACCCACAGTGGTGATAGTCACACACACACCAAAAAAAAGGGGGCGGGGAGGCTAGAAGCCACACAGCCCAACCATAGGAAGACATGGCTTTAGCTCATGAGGCAACCAGACAGGCAATGGCAGGGCCAGACATTCATGGGTCCTCCAACTCACAGCAACCCCAGGGTGGCCCCACAGAGGAGAGGCCAAACACTGAAGCAGAAAAAAACCATAGACGTGGACCTAAGACCTTACCGCTCCCAGTGAGTGAGGAGAATCTGGACTCCCACAAGCCCACCACCATGCCCTGTCAAGTGTGCCTGTCCTTGAGGAGACATTTTCTCACCTCTGGACCTCTAAAGGTAGCCAGTGGACAGCCTGCATTTGCATGCTGCCTCTGCCACATCCCAGCTTTGTGCCCTAGGTTGGTCCCTTTACCCATCTCAATGTCAGTGGCATACACTGCAAATGGCCAGTGAGATTACAGTCATACTAATTTAGGAAAGTCCAGCTTGCATAAGTTTACACATGCAAACTGGAGGTTCCTGAGAAAACCCCAGGCCTTCAGCCACAGTCGCTCCTTCCTTTATCCTCTTAGCAACTGGAGGAGAGAAGTATTTAAGTATTTTCACAGTGGTCGAGTGGTAAGGAGCTATGCAGCCAATACAAAGTTAGGTGGTTTGAATCCACCAGCTGCTCTATGCGAGAAATATGGGCAATCTCATCTCATGTGATTTACAGCCTTTGAAAAAGAAAACCCCCTGACCTGGATTGTCAGCTATGAGTTAGTTCTGACTAGATGGCAACAAGCTGTTGTTTATTTGGCTCAGGAAGCTGGAATGGGGGAGGGCATGAGCAAGGTCCCACAGTGGGTTCTAGCCAACAAGGGACCTGAAAACAGGTCTACCTGGCTCGACCTCCCTAGCATCAACAGACAGAGCCAAAGAGAAGCCTCCCTGCTAGCCCTCCCCTGCGTCCTGGGACTGTGTGCTGTTATCCTGCTGCCTGCCTTATCGGGGGCCATGGCCTCCCCACACAAAAGGAAGTGACACTGTTGTGTTCAGCCACAACACTCAGATCCACAACAAAAACCAAGCCTGTCCCTAACTGTCCTCACCTCCTACTTTGAGTTGTTTCTTTGTGTCCTTGAGACCTCTGTGCTCTGAGAACTCATTCCTGTCAGTTTAAAGCTGTCTGCCCAAGGATACCTAACATTACCTCTGGGATCAGGCCCTGTGCGTGCAGATCATGAGAACCAGCCCATCTCCCCTCCACTATGCACTCAACCATACAAGCCTGCAGAGAACAACTAGACCACCAACTCCACTTCAGTCGGGGAAACCAAGGTTTCAAGAAGGAAAGGACTTGTAGAAAGACAAGACATGCATGCTAACTACCAAAGTTTGCTGGACTGTGCTGAGCCCCATGCTTTGCTCATTTCAGACTCTAGAAGAATCACACAGGAATCCTATTGCCCAGGTTGGCTGCTGGGGAGGAGAAGGGTGTGTTTCACATGATATGCCTTACACACATCCCTCCATAAGCTGTGCTGATGCTCACCCCACCAAAGTCTAGAGGCTGGGCCTTCTCATCTCTACTTCACAGGAGGGACCTCGGAGGACCAGACACTAAGCAGCTTCCCAAGGACAAGTTTCCTACCCACATGTGCTTGATAGCAGCATCATGCCCCATGACATCGTTCCTGGGACCCTCAGGCCCCCTGAGCATCAAACCAAGTAAATCAGTAAGACAAGGAGAGACCATGCTTCCAGTGCCCTGGGGGGCCCCATTGACACATGACCCCCACACCCTTGGGTCCTCTCCTGGATTCTGGACAGGGGATCTGGATAGCAGGATGAAGGGGATTCTTACTGTCCCATTAGCACAGGAATCCTCTCTTGCCTGACCTCC